GTGCAATATTCTATAGATAAACTTACAAACACATATTACATACACGCCGATACACTTGGTGTGTAAAGTATTATTACATACACGTCGGTATACACTTGGTGTGTAAAGTACATGAGAGAGCAGCTTAGCTCAGTCGGCTAATTTGGTGGTAGCCACTATGTGTCCACTTGACCGTGGAGATCCCTAGATCCCCGGTTCAATTCCCATGACTGCCTCTTAGTGTGTTTCAGCTGGAGGGCTGAAATACAATTTACAGTAGCGCGAACCGGCTCCCGGTGTACTGATCAATTACCACTAGAAGTATCCCACTGGAAATAAGTCTTCTAGACTTTCGTGGGCTATCCTTGCGTTTACACCGAATAAATCCAATAATAATAATAATAATAATAAGATTTATTAAGCGCACATCTCCACTAAAGTCCAATCCAATTAGTAATCATTTACCACCTGGCTATGCTTATTAAGGAAGGGGGTTACATTGTAGTTCTATGATGAAATTAATTTGCTGGGTATATTATTTTAATAATCAAAGTTCTAGTCTATGGATTATTACTATATTTGTAAATGTACTTAGTTAGGTCATTTGATAGGACTAAACATACTTAGAAACCATTAAGTTTTGATGCTGTTAACATTTACAATACATCAAATAATGATGGCAGTAGAGAATAAGCCGATGTATAAATATATTATAGGCTCAATAATATCACGAATAGCATTGACGTAATCACTATTCTGTTTCAGTGGCGTATTTTGAAATGGAGGGGAAGATGAGGTGGGATAGGGTGGGGATGGTTAACTGTGGGTAGGAAAGGTTGATGACTACGGGCGCTAGCTCGCCAAATAACGTGAATTTTTTTTAATACTTGAGCGTTGTTATTGTTTTTTAAAGGTGTGACTGGGGCCTAGTACTTTTTTCTGGGTGAACCCCTCCCATGCATTCCCTTTCCTTGCATCCCACGCACCTTCCACGCCACGTACCCTCTAGAAACAAAACTGATATTTTTTCTGATAATTATTGTATTCAGCATTTTATAACCTTCGTGTAATCATTATATAGACCGCTCCAGTAATGATACAGTATTGGCGTAAGTTCGTTGAAGAAGGGTTTCTTGCGGAACAACTAGTTCGTCATTTGTGGAGAAATGAGCTTACTGCCAGTTCTGATGAGAATGACGTCATCTTTGGAGACTTCATTGAAATTATGAAGACATTTGGACTTCTCTTTGAAAAGGTATTCATATCATATGTATTATTAATATGTTTATTATATGTTTATTTCATACCGGTATTATATATTTTAATACATAATTGACACAAAGAAAAACGCAATTTCTGCAGCTATATCTTTTCAGTATTTGTTAACCATTATATCGAACTGTTTTTGTCCATGGCACAACTTTAAGCCTCCACTCGTACAGCTTGTATGACTATCTAATTTTATATTTATGTTTATGTTTTAATTTTTTATCCAAGGGATCTCAGAAAGGCAGTAGAATGTTCATCGTTCCTTCTAGGATGAGCCTTAAAACAGGCAACTTGAATGTTGGGAAAGACGACGAGCAGACGGTATCGGTTTATGTGACCCCCAAAGACTTTCTCCCTGACGCTGTGTACAACCTCTTGGTAGTTAAATTCCTAGATCTCAGTCAGGACAAAGCATGTAGTGGAAACCCAGAATTGTTTCAGAATGAGGCTGAAATAGATTTTGACGATATGCATTACTTGAGACTCGGATTTGTGTGCATTAACAACAAGCGGTCACTGAAGGTAATCATGTTTTTTCAGAAAATTAACACATTCCGTTGGTCTATTTTATGCTACTTCATTCATACTACTAACTATTCATGATGGAGGATCCGTGAGAAATTGAGGGAACGCTAGGTAACTGCGCAGGCGCGGGTCCAGCAGGGGAGCACAGAGGGAGTGTTTTGTCATTAAATTTTAAAATTTCAACACATCAATGCTATGTATTTAAAGAAGCGCTACTCACTTATATATTCTGAAATGTTGTGATCTTCCTCCCCCTCCCCTAACCTGTTTGAAAAATTCTGGATTTGCCCTGTTGCGATAATAAAGTGTTGACATCATTTTAACTACCAGACTAATATTTATGCTTAATAAATTTATATTGTTGGCTCAGGAACGTAAATCCGTAGGCATGCGCTCCCCATTCCCACAAAAATACGTGATTGACTGTGAATGATGGTGAGGATACAGAGCAGATAGTATGAATATGACTACATCGCCCAAATCCAACCATAATCCAACCAACAATAATTTTTAAAGAAATATATGTTATCTGATATACCTAATTATACGGGTTCTTTTTCTATGAACAGTTGGAAATAAAACGGAGAACAGAGATAGATGAAGAAGGTAAAAGAAATCCAGCATCAAAGCCAACACCTATCGCCTGCATGGAGGTAATCTTTATGATTATTAACTGCTTCAATTACAGTAATCATACTATTAGGGCTGTGCGTGTTAACATTTATTTATCGTTTTCAAATCAACTTTTCAAATCATAAAGTATTCTTATTAAATGCCTTTGGTATTTTTGCTGTTGTATATGTCCTGTAATTTTATGTGATCGTTTAATTTCCATTTAAAAGCAATAGTTTTCTGTATTTTTTATGTAAAGAAATTGTTTGCTAAAATATATGTAACCATTGTTTTATGGTTTATTACTTTTAAGTTATATTTATATTATATATACAGTCATTTCTACCAATGTGTTTTTGGTGAAGTTTTTCTTTTTTTTGAGATTTTACAATTTATTTTTTACACCAATATTGTATTGAAGCAATATTGCCTTACAGGTTTAATTTTAATTAATGAGAAATTGAATCGATGTGTATTTTATATTTTCAACACTGTATGCCATAACTTTAAATGTCATTTATTTTTAAAGATCTTACATGTTCTTAAGCGTCATCTTTATGACTTCTATCCTTCTGAAGATGGCGTCAGTTCAACCTTAAGCATTCTGTGTCCAGTTTGCTCAGTAATTGGTTTGATCCAGGGAAAGCTCCATTTGCAAAGTTTAGAAAAGTGCTTAAATTCCAACTTTATTCAATGCAAGACAAATGCAATGCCAACAGCTAAAATACAGGCATTATTTCAAGCAGGTATTAAGCCTATGTATTTTTGTATAAATTGAGTATTAAGAATCTTAACGGTGCACCCATCACATGATTGTGAATAATAAGTGATGACTTTAACCAATTTTTACTTGGCTAAGCCTTTGTTAACTTACATTGTACAATTATTCATAATGAACTAGCACTATTAAGATTGAAGGATTGTAAAAATAGTATTGCTTGATACATTAATTTGGACAATGGTGGCGGAAGTGAGGGGGGGGGGCCAAGGGGGAAATTGGCCCACCCACTTTTTCTACTGGATGGGCCTGGCTCCCCCCAACTTTTTTGACTGTTCCCAACATCAGTGACAAACATTTTCGCAATTTCATTTTTATTATTAATA